GAAAAAAAAAGTATTGATAGTCGGCGAGACTTTGCAGTGTGTACAACCCGCGTCATAAGTTGTTATTATTAAAACCGTACTCACTCTCGCCACGGGATGGCGCCGTCTACTGGAGTGCAGACGCAACGACCGCAACGCGTCTGCGACTTTTAAAAGTTGTTTGATTTGTTACGCGCGTGATCCCGTTTTGCCAGTTTCTCGGATGTTTCACAGGGGGAGATCCGTGGTGGTGCGTGGGTTTGTGATGCTCCATATTCAAATCTTGTGCTCCACAAAAAAACACGCATCCAATGCAATGTGGTAGAAGATGTGTGTTATGGTAATTTTGCGAAATGAAATGTAAAGTATATGCTAATTTTACACTGACGCTCAAGGGGCGATTAAAACCACAAAGGGGAACAGAGAGATGATACCAAGGATATGGGCAAAAACGAGTCAACCGATTCTCAAGTAACTCCATAGCTCAACTCAGATGTTAACTATGTCACCTGGTTTGCAGTTTGTGGGTTTGATCCTGACGCCTGCTGTATATTTGGAGTTTGCATGTGTTCTCTCTTTCTCTACCCGTGGTCGTATGTATTTTTCTCTGGTTCCTCCGGGTTTTCCCTCCACATTTATAATCAACGTTGCGTTAAGAGTATTTCGCTGCAGCTATAAATGTCCACGTGATAAGTCACTTCGTTGAGCTATCATTTTTAGTAAAGTCCCTTCTTAAAAGAGCTACATAGCTCATTGGGCCTTGCCTGGTAAACTAAAAATAGTAGAAAATAGTTCAACAAAATCTCATAGATTTGCTGAGAGAAGTGGAGAGATGCATTCCTTGCCATGCGGGGCGTTGTCAGCCAATAATATCCTGATTTATGATTGATCTTTGGGTTAGGCTATGTAATGCTCTGACCAAATTTGTGTCGTCACACCACCATTACAGACAAACAAATATAATTGTTGCGAGTGCAAGTACAATCAGGATCTCATTCTTAAGATGCTCGACGCAGTCTTAAATGAAACGCTCCGTAATCTAATCACTAAATGCAGTTGTGAGAATCTCTCATCGCCTCACCGGCAAACGAGCTAAAAACGATTCCAATTGGTGCTTTAATAACGCTTCTAAATCTGGCAATGAATTTGTTTGGCTGTGTTTAGGGTGGCAGAAGACAGCACGATACAGGCAACATCGTAGTGCCTGCCTCCCCTCTGCACCCATCCACCCTGCAGGGCAGCTTAACTAAATCTCAAGACTCACTTTCAGGAGGGTCCTGCCAATGTTTTCACAGTAGGGGGCTCGATGTTGCTGCTGCTATTTGCGATCAGAGCAGAGCAATTTGCAGGCCGTCATTCAGCACAAGAATGCCTGACCAGTATCGCTGACATTCAGAGTGTGGGGGGTTTTAGCTATAGGAGAAAAGAAAACTCGGAGGAATCCCACACAGAACACAGCAGGGAGAAAATTACACACATACTCCACACAGAATGGTGCCCGAGTAGGAAGTTGAACCCAGGTCCTTTTAGCTGTGATCTGTGATTCGCTACCACCTCTTGCCACCCTCTGTAATTTGCTGTGTGGTGTGGTATGCGTGGTGGTGTGGTGATGTGTGGTAGTGTGTGGTGGCGTCTCGTGTATTTGATGTGCGTGGTGGTGTGTGGTGGTGGTGTGGTGATGTGTGGTGGTGGTGTGTGGTGGTGGTGTGTGGTGGTGGTTTGTGATGGTGTGGTGGTGTGTGATGGTGTGTTGATGTAAAACGTGTGTGGTTGTCTGGTGGTGTAGTGGTGGTGTGGTGATGGTGTGTTGGTGGCGTGGTGATGTGTGGTAGTGTGTGGTGGTATGTGGTGGCGTATCGTGTTTGTGGTGTGACGGTGGTGTGGTGGGGTGTGTGGCTGTGGTGTGTGGTGGTGTGAGATGGTGTGATGGTGTATCATGTATGTGACGTGTGTAGGGGTGTCTAGGTAGGTAGCATAGTGGTTAGCGCACTGTGCTATGAACCCGGCCACCAACACCAGTGATGATTATCTGAACCGGTCCTGAATCTCCCCAAGGCCAACTCAACCTCAAATGAGTACCTGGTGCGATGTATAAACACCGCCACTGGGGAGACAAAAGCAGCCTGGCGTGGTCCTGGCTACCCACCCCCCCTGTGCCGTTCAGACTTTCATAGTTGTTCGCTCACAGCACTTGCCCCAAGAGTCGGTAAAGGCTATACGGGGGTGTTTGTGTAGGTGTGTCCATGTTCTCTGATGCACCGAACTTGTCTGGCCAGCCCTGCTTGTTGCACAGCACGGAGCCCACGTCAGATGTAATTACTCTGCACCTGTCACCACTGTAGCTTCTTATCATCCCTGTCTCTCCCGCACAACTCAACCCTTTCTGGCAAGAATACAGGAGGTGTTAAGAGTGTCTATGCATGTCGATGCTACTCCCATAGAGACAATTCAACTCAACGTAGACATGTTAACTATGCCTGGGACACACCAGTGTGACCAATGCCACCATTGTTAACGAATTCGACACACGCGGTGTTCCTTTCTTTGTAACAGCCTTTCAAATAAAACTCAAAGTGTTTCAATCTATTTCGCCTGGGAAATTATTAAACAGCAAAGGCATAGATCCCACGTATAGCCTTAATAGACTTTTGGACAAGTGCTGTTAGTGGGCGGCACCTATGAAGGCCGGCAATGGCACACAAGGCGGTGAGTGTCAAGCACCACGCCCAGTCACCTTTGTCTCCCCAGTGGTGATGTTTACACACCATACCAGGTACTCCTTTGAGGTTGAGTTGACCTAGAGGAGGCCCGGGACCAGTTCAGATAATCGTCACTGGTGTTGGTGGTGGCCAGGAGCGGGAAACGAACGCTGTTCGCCAGGTTCGTAGTGCAGCGCGCCACCGCTCCCCAGATGAGAAACAAACATTAAACCGCACACACAACGCACAGCAGCAGCAGAGCCCCGGGGTGTGGGTGCCTGGTATGCACCGAGAGGTGTGTTGGCGGTCGGGGAGTGGCCCTGGTTTCTGCCCACAGAGTGTGTGTAAATTTAACCAAGTAATCGTTTCTCTAGCTGTCAATGGCCTCAGTTTACGCCATCGCAAAAATAGCCATCGTTAACGCCTTACCTCAAGACATAATTAAGTTTACACACGTTTCCGGATAGATTTTATTACATTGCAATTATTTAATTATTCTGCTTGTTTAACCAGGAAAGCCTCAATGAGTCTCAAGACTCATTTTTTTCAGGAGGGTCTTGCTATATTTGGGATGTTTGGCCAAAACCAATTATTGTGTATGTGTTTTTTTCTTCACATTATATTAAGCGCATTTTACAACTATGAATTTTAAGATTATTCTTGGTTCTTTTGGTAAAGTCACATAGAAGGGAAATAATAAAATAATAATCATCATACCTGATGATGATTTCTTGTGTTGCAATCGAAACGTCATGAGCATTTTATAGTTTTTATTATTTTATTATTTCCCTTCTACGTGACTTTACCGAATTAACCAAGAATATGAATCCCTGCAGTCACAAAAGCTTTCAATCGAAATTTTAAGCTTGTTTACCAAGTAAAGCCTCAGGTGAACTTCATCAAGACCCTTTGCCGGTGTCTCTGAATTCCAATGCCAAAGAGATTTTCTTTGAAATTGTGATTTAAAAAATAGATATATATTTGAAGGGTGTACTGGAGATAATTTACATGTGCTCCTCCTTAGCAAGATATCCTGGAGACATACGATCTTGATTTAGGGGGAGCCCCCCCACCCCCTCCCCCCCCCCCCGACAGAGGTTATGGGCAGGGCGAGTTCCCACGACACACCGCGGGAGCGTTCACGACGCCAACGCCAGCCACGACATTCGCAACGTTCACTCGACTTTCCTCCTGCATTGCGCAGAGCGTCTGCAGCGTATGCAGGGCCAACGTCCCACTTTTCAACATCATGATAATAATAATAAAAATAACTGATTTAACCTGGGAAAGCCTCATCGAGTCTCAAGACTCTTTGTCAGGTGGGTCCTGCTACATTGGGATGTTTGGCGAACACCAATTACAGTGAGGGGAAAAAGTATTTGATCCCCTGCTGATTTTGTACGTTTGCCCACTGACAAAGAAATGATCAGTCTATCATTTTAATGGTAGGTTTATTTGAACAGTGAGAGACAGAATAACAACAATATCCAGAAAAACGCATGTCAAAAATGTTATAAATTGATTTGCATATTTATACTTTTTACGTGGTTGTTTAGTTACTGCAGCTACATACTATTAACATTCCTTCCCTTTATTAATACTACCCCTATCCCCTACCTTTGATGCTGCTAATCCTGCATAATGCACGGGCATAATATGACTTTGAAACCCCTCGCCCATCTCCTACGCATTTCACAAGTAGTACTAATCACATACCTGCATTTCCCATAAATATGCTAAATTCCTTTTGATATGCAAATTCTTTTGTCAAGGTGCCCTTCCCCCCTTCAAACCCAACTTAAATAGACGCTCCAAGCGTGGTGGTGTTTCATTCAGACGCTGTCTCCCCGACAAACCTGGTTTTCCCCTGAGGACGGCTGCTTGCGTTGTGGCCGAAACGTCATGAGAATAATTTTATTATGTTTTATTTTTATTATTTTATTATTTCCCTTCTACGTGACTTTACCAAAAGAACCAAGAAAATATTGGTTATATTCTGCATGTGCATTTAGCTATCGGAGGAAACTGAAGAACTTGGAGGAAACAAGGGGAAAGAATACAAACTCCAGGCAGAAAGGCACTCCGAGTCAGGAATCGAATCCAGGTCCTTTTGGCTGAGGCACAAGCGGCAACACTGTGCCACCACAAAACCCAACGTGAGTCTGTTACGGACCTTATACCATTTGGTGAAAGAACGCAAAGTTTATCCATTGCCATCTTCACTGGTGGATAAAAAAAACAGCCAGAGAAACTACACATTTATATGGCAGGGACCAATCAACCCGCAGGACCCCAACGGGTGACTCATGTAACCCACAGTACCTGTAGCGACGTGGCGTCTGCAGAGACTTGGGTCCTCAGCCGAGTCTCCAGCTCCTCCAGCAGGGCCCACAGACTCAGAGGCTCTGCTCGCACCAGGGTTGGCCAGGAGGATTTGTAAGGGAGGGAGGAGAGAGGCGAGGGAGGGAGATTACATGGATTGAAACTTGTATAAATGTACACACACATACATATATATTTCTAGAATATAAAAAATGTAAAGTGTGTAAAATATATGTCTTGATGCATAAGGTTGCTGAGCGCAGTAGGCCCAAAACTTCAAGGGGCCAGCAACAAACAGCACCAATAAAGTTGTAATGGATGAGGTGACACGTTTCTTAAAATGAGCAGGGCTATTGTGAGAGCTTGGAGAAAAGAGACCTCCAGTGTTGTGAGTGGGTGGGTGAGCGTGTTGTTGTGACTTGCAATGTGGTGAATGATTCATTATGTGTTGTGATCTGCATTGCGGCGAGTGAGTGGGTTGGTGGGTGAGTCAGTGGGTGAGTCAGTGGGTGGGTGAGCGAGTCACTGAGTAAGTGAATAGGGAAGTGAGTGAGTGGGCAAGTCTGTTGTTATGACCTGGAGTGTGGTGATTGAAGACAATATTGATGAGACAAAACAGTCAGCCTGGTGGGAGACCGAGTCCTCAAAGTGGGTGGAGGAATAAATGAGTGAAGTTCATTGGAACAGGAACCATGGTGGTAGTAACAATAGAAGAGTGATAAGGAGGTGACGGACTGCTGGTGCCTGGAGTGAATCGATTCGTCCTGGAACAAACAAACCGACTCCTTTACTCTGAATTCTATCAAGTGTCGCATTACTATTATCTTATTTTTATTTTGCTGTCTCAAGACTGTTTTTCAGTAGGGGGGGTGCAATGATTGCCACGTGTTATCCCAACTGAATAATTACCAGTGTACATTTGCTACGAACGACGTCGCGGTGATCTTGAACGTCCCCCCCGGAGCAGCACGGACGGTGCGCTGAGCATTCAACGGTTAAGTTCCGTACCGCACCACGTCGCTATTCACCGTGGCGGCCCGGCGGATTTGCAGCGCCAACCTCCGCCATGGTGGCCAAAGCACGACATCCGGCGTACAAAGCAGAACTCCCTTACAATGTCCAGGTGACGTCGAGAGGAGGGCGATGCACGGGCACAGAGGCGCAGCAGACACATTTATCAAAAAGTGCCCGTAATTTGTCAATTGTGTTCATGCGAAATTTCGTAAACTGAACGTTCGTAAAACAAGGGATACCTGTACTGCGAAAACCTAGCAGGACCCTCCCCTGCCAGGTGACCCCCGCTACCTGGTAGGGGCCATTAGGAGGGGACTCTGACAGCAGTGACAAGCACGCTAGAGCAGCCAACTCAGAGCACCTCACACGTCCGAACTTCTCAAGACTGGACAGGCGAGATTGGGCGGAGTTCGTAAGGTGCTGTTTTGTTCACGGAGGTGGTGGCGCTGCCCTTTAGTGAATGTCACATTTGGCCCGTCCCAACACCCGCCACCCTACCTGTCTCCATGCCAGTCTTCCTGTTTACCTCCTTGCAACACGAGTGCAATCATCACCATATCCCTTTAGTGATTTTTCTGTAAGATAATTTTACTTTGAACGATTTTGAAGTATGTATGTTGAACTTCTTTCGCACCATATGTAGCCTAATTGGAAGTGCGTGTTTTGTTACAGAAACTTTATTCTTGTAAACATTGCGTGTGTGTTTGTGGACTGTTTTTAATCGCATCCATAATTGCAGTTGTTTTAGTTTTGATTTATATGACTATGCCTGTTGTTATGCACTGGCTTTTGTCAAATGAGACTCTAACCTGGTTTCTTGAGTTCCACTCACTCTGGTTACACAAAATCAACTTGACACTTAAAACTCTGCTGCATGCACGAATCAATCCCAGCTTTTCCTATTGCATTGATTATACTCTTTAGTTCTTTCGGTAAAGTCACGTAGTTATAAATAAAATAAATCACGACGTTTCGATCGCAACACAAGTGGTTGTCATCAGGCCAAATCACTACCGCTTGTGTTGCGATCGAAACGTCGTGATTTGTTTTATTTTATTTCTAACTACGTGACTTTACCGAAAGCACCAAAGAGTATGGATTCCTGCAGTCACGAAAGCTTCAAATCTGCATTGATTATATTTTATTTATTTTTTTCATCAGGAAAGCCTCACTAGAGTCTTAAAAATCGTGTGTCCTTTCAGATAATGAGCGAAGGACCAATGCCTGGCACTCACATCAGGTTTGGTGAACACCTCGCAGTGTTTACACATTTGAGTTCATCGTTGTGTTATTTATTTTAACTGCGATTATGCTTTTTTCACCCAGGAAAGCCTCAGTGAGAGTCTTGTTCAGGAGGATCCTGCCAGGTTTTTAACATTAGAGAGGCGATGTTGGTGCTGCTGCTGTGTAATCCAAATTGCGAAATAAAATGGTAATTTTTCAACATTGGGATGTTTTGGCCAATACTGGTTACACTGTGTGTGGTATTTTAATAGGTATGGCAGAAAACTGGAGAATCCGGAGGAAACCCATGCAGAACAGGGGGAGAGAATACAAACTCCACACAGAGAGGCGCCCGAGTTGGGAATCAAACCCAGGGTTCTTGCTGCGAGGCACGAGTGTTACCACTATACCACCACCCTGCCATTGAAATGATAAACTACAATGTAGTAGGGGAGATCCTTGAATATCACGGGAGTATCATTTGCAATTTCGACCTATTGCAGGCAAGTCCTCTGTATGCCAACTTAGCAATCGCGGAGGTTAGTTTTGGCCTTCCACTGGGGTATAGTCGCGAGGTGCGGGTGTTACCACTGCACCACCACCACCGCTGCCACCTTTCTAGCTAGGTGCCCTATTGGCCGGGCCGTGCCTCCTGCCAAGACTCTAGTTCTGTCCCCACGGTGCCCTGAGGCCCCGCCATGTCAGCTGTGCTAGCCGCTGCTGGCACCCACCGTCAGCAACAGGAGCCGCCCCTTCGGCACGCCCACGGCTCGGGGAGGGCCCGGGGCTGGGCGCGCCCCGGACCAGGTGGCCGCACTCGAGCAGTAGCTCCCGCAGGCGCCAGCCGGCTCGGAACACCTCCTCCCTGCCTCGCACATGGCACACGCGACGCATTGTCCGTATTGTGTATAGTGTAGTGTATAGTGTCATTTATGGTGTATAGTGTGGTGTAGTGTGCGGTGTGGAGTGCACTGTGTATAGTGTAGTATATAGTATAGTGTACAATGTAGTTTATAGTGTGTGTGATGAAAAGTATACTGTGTAGTGTAGTGTATTGTGTAGTGTGCAGTGTATAGTGTAGTGTATAGTGTAGTATGCGGTGTATAGTTTAGTACGTGGTGTATAGTGTAGTGTGTGGTATAAAGTGTGGTGTATAGTGTAGTGTGCGGTGTATAGTGTAGTGTATGGTGTATAGTGCAAGGTATATATTGAATAGTATTGTAGTCCAGCCAAAACAACCCCCATTTCCTCGATGGTGCCAGATGGTAACGCTGTCGTGTCTGTAAGCAATATCATGGGGGGTGGACCGATTCCAATTGGCTGTTCCCCATGTGGTGCTCATAGCCACTACAGCAGAACAAAAGGGCTCTGGACGGGTGCGCCCCCTCCACCCTCAAATTAATTACCACTAAACCACGTGTAAAATATTATTTGGGTATTTCGGTAAAGTCACGTAGATAGCTTCAAATTAATAAAATTAATAAATAAAAAACTACCACGTTTCGATCACAACACAAGCGATTGTCATCAGGAGGAAAAAAGAGGGGGAAAGCTGCTGACTTCAGACTGTTTTAGAGGTTTAAAATGGGTATAGTCCAAGGGTCATAAACGAAGTGGGCGGGGCTAGTGATGTTAATGTGAGAAATTAGCATGTCAATGTAAGATCGGAGAGCGGCCTCCACGGCGAGCACACGGAGGTGGCTATGTACCCATCTTCTGGTTTGAAATTGTGTCCGTGCCTGCACATATGGATGGCTTCATGAACGAATCTTTGTTGATAGCCAGTGGGCTTACAAAGTACCTTCGACTTCGAGAAATCTATTTCGTGTGAGCCAACCGCATAAAAAAACAATGATCAGCCACGGCCGACGGGTTGGTTCTACCGTGTTTCAAATCTGCCTTATGCTCACGAACACGGTCCGAGACATGTCGCTTGAACCTATCTACGTGACTTTACCGAAAGACCCAAAGAATATGAATTCCTGCAATCACGAAAGCTTTAAGTCAGGTGAAAATTATCAAGCCAAGCTTGGTCTGGAGGCCCCGGGGAGACAGAGGTCTATGACATCTCCTATCCAAACCTTATTTGGCGAAGCCAGGAGACTGAATCTGGACCCTTAGCGTTCCTCCCAAAATGGAAAAAGCCACTGCGAGTGGGCACGTGAAATGTTTGAATGCTCACTGTGGAGAAGAGGCTGCCACTCCTCTGTCGACAGATGGACCGGTACCGCCTGGGTCTCTGTAGTATTCAAGAGATTCTGGCTCCAGTCAATAGGACAGTCCTCTACTTGGGCAGGAAACGCCAAACAATTATTTTCTGAACAAGAAAATGAAGGGGGTGTGGGAACCTGGTGCTGAGTTGTGGGAAGCTGTAATCTCAGGCTACTGTGGGCTCGCCACTCCATCAACAGCAGGCAAGGAATGGTGGAGGGTTCCAGGGAAGGCCGATGAGTCAGATGGCTTCTATGACCTTATGTCACAGGTGCTGGCTAAAGTGGCCCCTCGGGATAGTCATCCTGTTGGGTAACTTTAATGCCAGAGTGGGTCATGACGCAGATACCTGAGCTGAAGTGATTGAAAGGCATGGGCCAGATTAGCTCAATGACAATGGCAGGAGGCTGCTAGACTTCTGTGCAGGCCCATGGGCTTGTAATTGCCAACATGCTGTCCCAGCACATCATAGATGCAAGACCTTCCATGGAGCTGATCTGCCCAATGACCATCGGCTTGTCATTTGTAACATGCGTCTACCATTCCTCCACTGCGGTGGTGGGTGTCCATCTCGGACACCATTCAAAACTACAGTGCCCTGGTCTCAGCTAGCTGAAGTTGCGAAAACGTTATCATCGCTTGCAGCTGGGGTTGGTATTGTCCTGATGCCCAGGAAAAATGGGCGAGGTTTAGGACTGTGGCTAATGCAGCTGCAATGGCTGGTTTGGATACACGGTCCAGACCTTCCCAGAGACTCTGGCTGATCTTCACCATTATTCCTTTCGGGAAAATCACTCCCGCTCAATGCAAATTTACTTTACTCGGCAATTCTCAGGAATGCAACCCCCAGGTTAAGCGGGGAATTGCTGTACTGGAGACCTCTGGACGATCATGAGGACTCACTGACAGACTGTCCGTATCGACAGTTCTCGATTTATAAATGGGTTCCGTTCCTGAGACCCGTTTGAGAGTTGAACGGTTGGCAAGTCGGAACACAATAATGTATCGTATTTAAATGCACATCGTCAGCGCTGCGCCCGGCTGCCTTTGACTCCCCAGTGGTGATGTTTACACACCGTACCAGGTACTCATTTGAGGCTGAGTCGACCTAGGGGAAGCCCAAGACCCATTAAAATGATCGTCACTGGTATTGGTCATGAGCAGGAATCGAAATCGGGTCGCCGGGTAGGTCATAGAGTGCGCTAACCATTACACTACCGCTCCCCACACACACACACACCCACATGGGTAAAAAAGTTAACAAATCCCAGGAGAGGTTGAGAAAACTAGACCAGTGCCCTAAACTAAACTCACCGCTCCTTCTGCAGAGCTGCCCTCTGGGCTTGCAGGCTGCTGGGAGGCTGCTCAAGCTTGAGGGAAGACCTCCCCAGCTCCTCCAACGACTCTGCCGCTCCGTCATGAACGTCCGCCGTGCCGCCTTTCACAGCCGCCTCCCCAGTTAGCTCTCCTCTTCCCTGCCAGGGGCACAAGCATCAGATGGTCGACCCCAACCTCCAAGACGAACAATGCAGGGCCCTCGCGGGAACAATGACAACGGGAGAGAGGGAAGCAGTGTCGAGTTCAGTCAGGGTGAGAACTCAAGAGAGCAGGTTAGAGGTGCATTTTTTATTTTATCAGGTAAGGTCCACTGAACTATATAGCTCTTTTTTCAGAATGGACCTGTCCACAAATGATAGTTCAACGAAGTGGCTTATCATGTGGAAATGTATCGCAGCCATTTTCACTAAACACATGTTTCTAAATGTGGAGGGAAAAACCAGAAGACCTGGGGAAAAATCCACACGACCATGGGGGGAGAGAGATGTAAACTCCAAATATACAGCAGGCTTTGGGGTCGAGATTGAACCCATGACCTCCTGTATATCAGGTGAGGTAGTTAACATCTCGCCATTGTGGCACGACAGTGACTCGGGCCACCAAAATGATGAAAGCAATAATAAATAAATACAGTGTGGCAAGTAATCAAATAGAAATCTGGGCAAAAACAACCATGTAAAAGTTGAAATTTAAAACAGCACAAAGCCTCTTTCTTAATTCCTCTTCATCGCACCATCAATCATCCATCACCTTCTCTTGGCGAGTCGGTAGCTGCTCCTTCAGGGACGCCCTCTCCTGCTCGAACACGGAGAGCTCCTCTGGAAAGCAGAGCACATGGCACGGACGACTTAGCACCGTTCATGTTCACAATGATGTATGTCCATCGCCAGGTTTGTCGTGTGTGACACCGCGCACACAGTTTTCGTTAAGATTCACAGCCACGGGGAAACCACAGGCAAGCTGAAAGGCAGCCAGAACTGGCGCCAGAAATTTCCAAGCTCTGTTGTCCTATATTGGGATGTTTGGCCAAGTCCATTAACAAGTGATTATTATAAACGTGGGAGGAAACCGGAGTAGCAGGAAAAAACCCACGCGCACGTTGTGCACTGGGGGGAATAACTCTTAATCCCCATACAGATGGAATTTAGATGTAAATGAACCCACTTGCTCTACTGCCATCACATCCTGGCTACAATCCAGGAGATAGCAATCGCGACGCCCTACGAGTGTGTGCCTGATCCACCAACCCTGGCTGTCGAAGAGTTGGCATTGGTCTTTTGTCAAATATTTAGGATATTATCTATATATTTTTTTACGCTTTTACATGGTGCAAAAAATGCAACAAAGGGCTTCAGAGTGCCAAACAGTATAGATATATTTTTTAACATCTATAGTTTATCTAACATATAGGAAATAAGGGGAATTTAAGTTTCTTCCTAAATGGGGCAATCTCGGCGGTCAGTTGCAGTTCTTCAGGCAGAGAGCATTCCAAATCTGACGGAACTAAAAATCCCGAGCTCCAAAACTTTTTGCTGACTGAGGATTGTGGTCACAGTGTGAAGATCTCAGACTCCGAGAACAAGGGTTTGAGAAGCTGCAGTTTACCAGTCAATTATCTAAGCAACTGCTGAAAGAGTGCTTTGCAAAGTAAGCACAGTAAGTTGAATCGTGCAGCACGGAATCTCAATTGGGAAGCCGGCGGCGTAGGTCCGGTAAAGTTTGGAAGGTTGGGTCCCACCGAGAATGACTGGTCAGTCAAAAGTCACGCAGAGGTGTTTTGAATGCCCAGGATTAGTCTATACCTCGGCATAAATTAAGTCATAGATCTATCGATAGTTTTTTTAATATTATTTTGACCATAGGCATAATTAGAAATTAAATTGAAGGTGGCCATTGCACAATCTGTGCTAGGCGTTGCTATTAGCGCTGAATGGGGTCCCTGGAGTGCCTTTGCAAATGACTTCACCTGGAAGTTCCAAGAGCAAGACATGAGAAAGGTTGAGAGTAGGGCCATTCCTTGAGGGGTGCGGGCTCCAGGGCAAATCAACCGATGCCTTCGAACTAAACCGAAATATATTACATCTTAGACCGAAGCACAGAGGCCCCCACCCCCCCCCCCCAAAGCACGGGGCCCAGGGCAGTCACCCCGATTCGCTATAACCGAGGGACGGCTCTGGTTGAGAGTGAGATGAGAAGTAGGAGAGTATGCGAGAGGGTGCGAGAGCGTGCGACACATACAAGAACGAATGCACGAATGCTCGCGCATTAAGGTTAAAAACGCCTTTATCGTATGGGCGATGGGGCTCTTACCTTGCGACGTCGTGAGTGCTGACAGGGGCACAATGTCTCTGCACTGCTGCGGGGGAGCGCCGAGACGCTGCCGTAGTGCTCGGCATAGCCCCCTTACCGCAAGCAGTTGCTGCAGCTCTGGACTCAACGTGGCCGTTTTCACGCCGGCGCTCTTGGCGTCGGCGATTGAATTGCCATCGGCACCTCGAGGAGCCTCCTCCGCATCACCTCCAGCAGCTTCGGCGTCGTTCAGGAGCGAGAGAACGTGCACCAGCTCCTCCTGTAAGGCAGCCAGCTGCTGACCGTACTCGCAGCGTCGCTTTTCCTCCTGCTTCTCCTCCTGCTGCTGCTGCTCCCGACTCGCGCTCTCGGCCTCCAGCTCAGCACGAGCCTCGACATTTGCAGCGTGTTTGTTCGAACCCTCGCCACTCTCCCCTTCCCCATCTGCAGCCGATGCGGGAAGCGGTTGCGAGTGCCTTTGTTCCAACGCCTGCCTCAGTGCATCCATCTGTAGTTCTGCGAGTTCCATTTCCTTCCGATGCTCGGAGCGAAGGTCACTCTGCATCGCCACAAATTCCTCTGCCCGCCGGCCCCGCTCTTCCTCCACGACCTCCTCCAGTTCCCGCATGTGGCTTCTCTCCAGGTCCTCCACGAGCCTCTTGACATCGTCCTCGCTATAACGCAGCCGCTCGCTCTCCTTGGCGTCGCGCTCCATCATGTCCACCCGCACACGGTAGTTCTCCACCTCCTGCAACGATTCGAACTCGAGCTCCGTGTTGGCGTTGAGCGCCAGCGCCAGCTGCTCGCGCAGACCCTGCATTGTCTGCTGCATCAGCTCGGCGCGCCGCTTCAAGCCCTTGGCCTTCAGCCCCAGTTCCTTGTTGACTTCTCGCAGGAGCTTTGCGTGCTGCTCGGCCTTCACTTTGTGCTCCAAGTACTTCTCAATGGACTTCTTGTGACCGCAGATCAAGGCCCCCATCTCGATTTTGTGCTGTAGGCTCAGTCTGGACGCCTGCTTTTTGAAATCGTTGTTCAACTCCTCCCTCAGCTCATCCTCTCGGCTCCGCCAGGCGACCTCCCTCGCTGACGAGCCGGTGAAGAACTCAATGTCCCCGCCGGGCGATTCCTGGTCGAAGTCGTCCACTTGCTCACAGAGCTCCCTCACCATCTCGTCCACCCGCACGAGGCCGTCGCTTAATGTCGTGGTCACCTCATCACTCTTGGCCTCCTTGCAAAGTTTCTCCAGATCGGCAAGAGTCTCGTGAAGTTGCTGCCTCAGCTTCGCCACTCTTCGCTCTCTTGTGAGTGGCTGCTCAAAGATGTCTTCATCTTCCCCTCCTTCTACAATCTTGGAACGAACACGAAAAATGTTAGTACATCAAAGCTTTGCCCATCGGGGCTGGGGTTATGTTCTTTCAAATAGCCACAAACGGCAAATCCATGATCCGCAAGCTCAAAGGCAAATTGGTAACATAGGGTTTGGTTCACGGTTCGTAATGACACCCACCCCCCTCCTTATGTTTTATGTTACCCTACGACAACCCAAACATTAAACATAAAGTATTTTGAATGTAAGACATGATTAATATATTCTACAGTGTTAAATATAACTTGTATGGTAAATGTATAGAATGAAAACAATTAACATAGTGTATAATACTGTACACATATCTGTGTACAGTACTGTACACGACAGGAAGAAACATCACAAGCGGCTGAACTTCACTGCCTCGTCACTGAAGGCTGGGAACACCGCGTGGCCTTGGACCCTGGATGGGCCGCCTGTGTTCTTCCACGGCAGCATCATCGCGAACAGTGCAGTTACAATGCGTACAAGAATGTCGCAGTCAAACGCGAATAGTCGAGCCACAGGAGGGCGATCGGTGAACTGTATCTCAATTAATTTGCTGCTAAACCACAAAACCGCGATAACTAAACCGGCAAGAGAGAAGGGTTTGCTGTACTGCAATAATTAACCACACGCAAACATACCATGGAACATAAGCAATCTAGATTAAATCATTTCAAATAATTTCTATTATTTTATCTTAAATAAAGTTGCTGAGAATAGGCTGAAACAATATATGGCTGGTAAAAAACAGCACGATCAAAGTTACAAGAGATTCTTGACTTGAGCAAGGTTATTTTACGAGCCTGGGGGAAGAGAGACGATGGAAGGGAACTTCTAAGTGCAGGGCAGTGCAAGGGAAGAAGCAGATCGAGATGCGTTGTGACCTGCAGTGTGGTGAGTGGGTGAGGGGAGTGTTGAGTGGATGGGTGGGTGAGTAACTGTTGCTGTGAACTGCAGCGTAATCAGCGGTTGAACGAGTGGGTTGAGTCAGTGGGTGGGCGAGTATTCTTTGTGAACTGCAGTGTGGTGGTTGAGTACATGGTTGAGTGGGTGAGTGGATGGGTGGTTGAGTGAGTGGGTGAGTGTTTCTGTGACCTGCAGTGTGGTGATTGACACAATATGGAGGAGGGGATGACACACTCTCACAGATCGAGTCCTCAACATTGGTGGAGCAATGTGAAGTTCACGATAAAATTACGGGAAAATGTCAAAACTGGGTGGTTTTTAACTTTTGCCGACAAAACTGGATCCCAAATGTCAAAACTGGGTGGTCTTGGAAAACGACAGGCAAAACAGGGTGGTGCTTTTTGATATGACAAAACTGGGTGATGTTCAATGTGGACAAATGTCAAAACTGGGTGAAGAAGGTGTACGATTTAATGTATCATTTTGTACACGTTTAGGTCCTTGCGTTATTCATCCATATGTCGCCACAGATTTAGAGCGTTCCAAATGATGTTTCTCGTGGCTAATGTTCCATACCTTGCACCACAAACTTCCCGTTTGCATACTGGCACAGTGTGCCAGCTCGCTTACTTGCCGTTTGTATACTGGCACAGTGTGCCAGCTCGCTACTACAGTAACACTTACTTGCCATATGTATACTGGCACAGTGTGCCAACTTGCAACTACAGTAACACTTTCAGCTCGCGAACATACACGAACTTGCCATTTGTATACTGGTACAGTGTGCCAGCTTGCATGCTACACCTACTACAGTAGAACAACGGTAGATAGTGTTTGCGTCGAGAAGTATGGTGCTGCACACTTAGAACAAAACATGTTTGTTACATATATATAACTACTTCGACGGGCAAGAGCGCTTGTTGTGGCCCTTGGCGCGACAGAAGGAGCACTGCGTGAGGCCCAATGGGCCACCTTCGCCACGGTTGCGAATCCGACGTTTCTTCGGGCGGCCAGCCTTCTTCTGGCGAGGAGGTGGCATCATGGTGTTGTCGCGTTGCAGCTCCTCGGCAATGGGCAGCTCGATACCGGCAACCGAGGTCCATGTCGTGTTGATGGCAGAGACTTGGTAACACACCGCACATGCGTCGTAGAGCTCGGGCATCCGCCCAAACGCCATGAGGGCACGAATGTAGTGCCGACACGGCAAGCCCATCTGCTTCATGTACCCGCACGTGCACGACCGAGAGCTGAGATCGACTCGGCGCTTGGCAGAGGCGTAGGCGTCTGGATCCTTGACGTATGCACGCGTCGAGGTACTCTCGTAGACCTTGTACCTCGGGGCCAACGCCTGCTGAGCGTCGATGGGTCCTTGAGCGTACGGCGTATTGACACGCCCTTGAGCGGCCCACTTCTCGGCGTCGCTGCGGTGGGCAAAGGCCGTCGTCATCATGTCTTCCATGTGGTGCATGAGGAAGTGGAAGGGGTCCATCTCGCGAGCCGGCAGGGCCTCGCTGTTCGTGGACTCCACAAAGTTCGTCGTGCGCCAGCCGTACAATGGCGTCGTGTGCAGGTGCGGGTAGAGCGCCCACGTGTGGGGGTCGATCTTGTTGTAGTACGTGGCCGCCGCAGGCAGAGCTACGCCCAAGCAGCCCAAGGAGCTGCGGAACGCGGCCTCGGAGGCGCACCCTTGGGCATCGTAGATGATGCCTTGGAGGTCGGGCGTGAATGCGGAGCCGATGTTGTCCACGCCGTTGCAGATCAAATGTCGCGTGCAGTGGATGAGCATGAGGTCCTTCCAGTCGGAGGCTAGCATGCCTGTGCCACGATCGCAGAAGACCGGCGTGCCGTCGAGCTCGATGTCGTTGGTCGTGCAGCAGTTGAGAAACCAGTCGTAGGCCGCTGCCGTCTCGGACGGCACCAGCGCCACGGCGAGAAGGACGTTGCGGTTGTTGCCGTCGCGCCCAACGAGGACGAGCATGGTTCCGTTGTAGGCGCGCGCCTTCATGTGCGACCCGTCGATGCCGACGACGCGTTGAAGACTTGGCTGCAACGAGCGTGCGATCGGGTTGCAGATGAACGCACCCCAGAAGATGCCCGCGTCTTCTCGCACACTGCAGGTCGTCGCGTTGAGCTTGCCGAACGTCTCCACCAGCGAGTTGATGAACTCGAAGCCTGCATGGGCCGCACTCTCGTTCGCCGCGATGCACGTGTCCTTGGCGCGGTACATCATCCGGGTCGGGACAATGACGCGAGCAACGTCGGCGACCTGGGCAATGACAGTCGGTGCGGAGGTACGGGGGTTGGCGCGAAAGGCCGAACGGGCTGTCGTGTTCGCCTCCACTTGGCGCTGCGTGATCTTGGTAGTGCCCGTGCAGCCGTGGTGATCCGTGCACAGCGCCGAGACGCGGAAGCCGCGTCGTTCCCCCGTGAGCTTCGTCAGCTTCACCTTGAAGGAACAAGGTGTTGAACTAGAGCAGACGATGGCAACGTGCCGTCCGCCGCTTCGCTTGAGGTCAAGGACCGCGCGCTTGCCTTGTTGCAAAGCAAAGTCTTGGATGCCGTGGATGGCCTCGCGGCGCGTGGTAAAAGTCTTCTTGGGGTGGAGGGTTGCCATTCGAATGCGAGTCGCTCCTCCACCTGTTTCGTGAAAAATGCTTGTGAAAAATCACGTTTCTACGTCTACTTTCAATTTTTCACGAGACAATGTCTATTTTCATTGCCAGCAATTTCACACAATATTTCCGCCAATCACCGTAACGGTGGGCCAAAGGATTGACCAATCAACGAGATGCGCATTCGTTGGTTTGTTCCGCACCATTGGGACCATGGTCAAGAGCGTCAAGCAGGCTGGTCCATCTCCCAAGGAACGTCGCCTTTGTCTCTGTGCTTGGTCGTTTGGCGGGCTATGGTCGAATGCATGGCAAATTTAAGGGTGTACAGTAGCGCGTAGCATCAACCAACAATCCAAAAGTTTGGTATTGACGCGAGTCACTAGTCTAGGTCATCACGCAAGGTGGCAGTGCGCCCGCCTGGTCGCAAGCCCGCCCCGAGCTCACTTCCGAGTCCGAGCCGTAGCTTGAAATGTTGGTCGTTGGGGTGCTGGCACACTGTGCCAGCATACAAATATCAAGTGTGTGTAGTTATATGGTGCTGGCACACTGTGCCAGCATACTAATACCAAGTGTTTAGATGAATGGGGTGCTGGCACAGTGTGCCAGTATACAAATACCAAGTGTTTGGATGAATGGGGTGCTGGCACACTGTGCTAGTATACAATTATCAAGTGTATTTGACAAATGTCAAAACTGGGTGCACCCTGAGTGTCCAAAACTCAAGTTTTTGGCCACCCAGGGTGCACCCAGTTTTGACATTTGGGATCCAGTTTTGTCGGCAAAAGTTAAAAACCACCCAGTTTTGACATTTTCCCATAAAATTACTGTACACTTCAGATATTATACAAAGTGATTTTTCAGACTAATCGGATGACATATTCTTCAGTTATCTGTCCCACTGCATTACACAGCACAAGTCACTCATCTCTTAAAAATAACATCACGACCAAACAGTATTCAAATATTTTTCGATTTAAAGCTTTCGTGACTGCAGGGATTCATCTTCTTGTTTCTTTCGGTAAAGTCACGTAGAAGGGAAGTAATAAAATAATAAAAATAAAACATAATAAAACAATTCTCACGACGTTTCGGCTACAACGCAAGCAGCCGTCCTCAGGTGAAGAATGAGACACTACCAAACTAGGAGCTTATATATAAGCTGCATTGGGGGTTGAAGAGCGCCTTAACAAAAAGAATGTGCATGTGAAGAGGGATTTAGCATATTCATGGAAAATGCGTAGGCGTTGGGCGGGGGGGTGTCAAAGTCATATTATGCCCATGCATTATGCAGGATCAGCAGCAACCAAGGGGGGTGCAGGGATTAGCAGTAACAAAGGAAAGGAATGTTAATGATATGTAGCTGCAGTTACTCAACAACACGTAGAAAGCTAAAGTATAAACTACATAAAAAACTAAAGTATAAACTGCATCGCACCATCAGTATACTTACTATACTCTATAATAAGCTGAGTTACTAAC